CACACACACACAGTCACACTGAGTCGCTCTGGTTCTCACCTGGGTTGCTGGAGCCGTCGTCAATAAACTGCAGGTCGTCGACTGTGTCAGGAGACTGGAAGAAAAGACAAGACAGTGAGTAACGGAGCAGCGGGGGGGTGTTACACCTGTATCCTTGGGGAAACCTTCACCATGTGAGTAGTGGAGCTGGGAGCAAGGGGAGGAGACATGTGAGCTCCCAGAGTGTCTCTACTCCACTACTCCCCCGGGAGAGACTGGCATGTTAAAGCAGAGGGAGGTTTAGTTCAGTCGTCAGGCTCCAGGTTCAGTGTGTGGTGCGGGCACATCCACAGAGGGGCAAACAGATGAAGAACAAATAAAACACCACTACCCTGCTTCACCCTGCTTCAGCCTGCTTCACCCCCCTTCTCTCTTAGGTCTCGCAAAGAAATTAAACATCTGGCACAAACCTACACCAAACTATTGAAAGTGCAGGAGAAGACCCTTCCGCAGAAGCTGGAGCATGAGAGGAAAGATCCGTGTTGGACGTGTTATTCCCCCGACTGAAGTGCAACACATGCGTGGAACAAGAAGTTAATATGACAGTGGATGAGATGCAGAGTTTGTTGCAAATTTTCCTTCTGGAACTGAATCTGGTTAGTGATGTGTCTCTGCAGCAGGTGAGTGTTAACGTCTGTGACTGATTAGCTGAGAGATCGATGGTTGTGATGGTAGCAGCTGGTGCTCTTGCATGTGAGTGTTGGGGGGGAGAGGAGAGGGAGACCCGGGCTGAATTTTGTGTCTCTTCATTGTGTCAGTGAGAGTTAGTGAGTGAGCCACACCACCGTAGCAGTGCAGAGCAGGAAGTGTTGATCAATCGCGGAGCCACAACCGAGACTGCGTTAACACTGATGCCTCATGATTAACAGAGAAACTAGAGGGGGAGAGGGGCAGCAGGGAAAGCCACGGGAAGGAGGGACGAGGCCCGGGAGGATCTCAGCATGCAGCCAATACCTGGATGTCGTATACGGGTTTGGAAGAAGGAATGGCGGCAAACTGTCGGTAGTCAAACTTCTTTGACGACAGGGACTAGAAGGATAGTAAACAGGGATGAGCAGAGGTCAAGGGAGAGAGAAAAGAGGATGGAAGAGGAGGGGACAAAATAGGTCAGAGGAGAAAGTGTTGCAGAGGGAGAATATCAAAATAAAAGAGGAGGGAGAGAGAAAAAAGTTGAGGAAATGGAAAAAAGGAGAGGAAGGAGGCAGAGAGGCTCATGGGTGATTCAGACAGCCAGCTGTGGCGTATGATGGGAGAGCGGTGTGTTCTCAGCGCTGATTGGCCAGAGTGACGATGAGCAAGATGATGAATTAATGTGTTTGGAAGCAAATCTACTTTTACCTTTTCCAGCTTGTAAACAAACAACCTCATTTGTTGACTTTCAAGTAAAACTCCTCAGAATAAACTGCAAAATCAGAGATTTGTTCAAATATTTGATGATTCAAACTCTCAAACGTCCTCACAGAGGAAACAGTAAAACATTCACACTGACACAAAGGCCAGTGGAGAAATCAGGGAAAAACAAACTTGAAACCAAGAAAGTTTTAAAGTGAATTCTTACCAGTCTGCCCGGTGAAGTTACTCCACTAGGACTGAGCTCTGTCAGAGAAAAACAAAGTAGGATTAGGCTTCATGATGAACACAAATAAATCTGTTTGAAAACTAAAGCAATATCTGTCCACAGGCGTGTTGTAGCTTCGTGTCAGTAAACTCCATCCACACAAGACGTAACGTGTGTGCCGGTGTAAACAGGAAGCAGATTGTCTACTAAAATGAGGCAGTGTTTCCAAACTTCTACAATTTAGATGC